CAAAAAAAAAATAATAAAATAAAATAAAAACAATAACAATAATAAATAGAATCACTCAGGGTTTATATTACCATACTAAAGAATAACACAAATAGGGGAAAAACTTATAAAAGTGAAGTCCCCGTCCCTAACGCTTCAAACCTTTATCCAAAGCCATTGTTTAGCATTTTAAATACGGGAAACTTAGAAAAAGTAAAGTTTAGTGGTCTGTCCCCTACCAGTTTCAATCTTTGTGCAAATCCGACGAATGACCTAATATGGGAAATTGATAAAAGTTAAATATAGTGCCCCATCCCCCCTCCACTCCCCTGCTCCCCCCTCCCACCCCAACTCCCTTTTTTGTGCTGTTGATGCTAGAGAGGTGAGCAGGGTAAGCCTAATTTCGGGTTTGGACTTCTCTGTTGACATCCACCCCTTGGCGCTCATGTTATTATGATCTTATGCGGTTGCGAGCGCCGTAAAGTCTAACTAAAACTAAAACAACTCCCTTTTTGAATGCGCGTGGCCTAATGCGCAACACCCGGGGGTCAGCGTGGAGGTCACCGTGGGGTGACAGTTATGTCTTGCACCAGTATTTGTCACATTTTTTAAAAAGCCAGCGTCCACTTTGGTCACGTTCAAGAGGTTAACATTTTCGTACCACCCCCCTATATGTTTTCCAAGAGGGGCATTAACTCTTTGTCGACGTAGTGGACACACATACGTCCTATCAGCAGGAGACCAAAGACAAACATTGTTGCACATTTCCAACTTTTATATACAAATCAGAAACACGAGTTGGAATTTTTGATAACTTGCCTATCGTTGCCTGCCTTTTTAAGTTTCAGATAAAGGAAAAAGAATTGAAATATCTGTATGAATATGGAAGTTATGCATGAATCGTCTTTTAAAGTAACCCAAAACAACGCGTCTTTGAACAAGCAGCATGAGCGTCTGCAGTGAGTTAAAAAGAAAAAATATCTTAGTGCCTGCCCGGGTGATCCTCACCGTCTACAAAATTACGAAATCTCCCACTGGACTATAAGGACTGTGATGAAACATACGCCGTCAGGCGCCCAACGTTGTGTCCTTGGGAAAGGCACTTTGCACAAATTTTCCTCACTTCACCCAGGTGGAAATGGGTACCCGGCTATAGACAG